TAAGAAATAACGTGGATTGTAGATTTCATTAATTGCACAGTAGTAAAGACTGCAGGTTTGTGAAGTTTTCTTTTGCAAGATTATGCATATACACAAACCTTTTCATCATTACATAAACTAATATCTAAACTGAAAATAAGCCAGGATAAGAGAATGTGCATTCAACTGCTCATTATGCAGTAATATTCAATATGCAAGTATTCAAACAAAAGATACAAAATACCAGTTTGACATAGTTCATAGGAACAGTTCAAGCAAAATATGTAAGCAGCAAGGTGGCACAAACACACACACACACGGAGAGAACACTTTCCAGCATTTCCCAACAGCAATCTGGCAGTCCCAGAGTTTCACTGACTTCATCACATTTTTTATATTGAAAGCCCTGTAATTGCAAAAGGCAAATTGAAACATATTCTGCAGTTGCAAAAAGTTTAAGAGCACAACTGCACTGAAAAAAACTAAGTCTCTGTGAAAAGAAAAACAGCTTGCATCCTGGCCATATTGTGACTTGGAGTTTTAATTAACAAGTCAGCATGCCCTGAAGGACTAAACCTAAACTGCATAGGAACTTTTATGCAGTGAAATAAGGGACAACCACTTAGAAAAAGGAATAAGAAGACATCTGTAAAAACTATTCCTGAGAAGAATGGCATATAGGGAGAGTACTGAAGGAGCAGTCAGAAAAGCAGGGTGGTCAAGAAGTGGGAGGTCACCCCATTGCTCTCTTAAATCCTGCAGCAAACCCCCAATTAAGGACTGACTTGAAGTCCTTGTCCCAGATACCCATATTCTGTCTTTTCTCATTGAAGATGCACTTCTACAAATAGCTCAGACTCGGCAAAGAAAAAGAAAGACGACCAAACAAGAAAGGAGTATAAAGGACAGGTAGGAGCAGAGAATACAAATAAGGAGAACAGAGGGTAGCTCACACAACCATGGAAGATTACATGAAACCTGGAAGGACACAGAGAGTCCTGGAGAAAAAATAACAAAAAAAAAAACCAAACATCTTTTTTTCCTAACTGACTTCTTGCTAGTTTTTCCTCTACAGAACCATTATTCTCTATAATATCATCTCCTACTCATGAATTGCTCTGAAAAATATCGAGATGTCAAGGAAGGAAAAGAAACGTCAGAGTAAAACGGTACCCCTAGGTTGTACGAGAAGCATAGTGTCAAACCATAAAGTGTCTCAGCGCACACCCTAGAAAATCTTTTAGGTGGCATGCAACCTGACAGCACAGATGCTGAGAAGACTGAAGATGTAGCTGCAAACTTTGGTAAAGAGACAGTCAACAACCTTACACTGCAAGGTTACACCAGATGGTGAAGGGACTGAAAATACAGCATGATATCAGCAAAAAGCAGGTCTATATGGCTACAGGCTCTTTGTGAAGGAGACAGGACAACCATCTCAAACGTGGACTGAGCAAACAAATAGAAGACCTTGCGGTTTCAGGAACGTAAAACGCAGATTTGGAGTCCAAAAGGGCAGTTAACGGATGCAGGAAGAGCCTGATTTTATCTCACACCTAGGTGAGAGAGAAAGGAGGAACACCACACCAAGCTGTGACGGGATCACTAGCACAAGGGGGTGCAAGTGGTCTTCTTGGAGAGGGACGACAAAGCCATAAGGAGTAATGACGCACTGCTACCGGAAACACGAGAAAAGGCTGAGATGTTCAACACCAATAGGTACTCAGGAAAAGATGACAGAAAAATGCCAATTCGAGGAAATAAACTTTTTAGGTATCAACCAAAGAGCATATGTTAACAATAATCATGAGGGCCATGTATTCCTGGATACGATATTGCTAGCAGACTTCACAAAAAAGTCTCTCGACCAATAAAAGCTGATGCTATTTTAAGCCTTCTTTTGGCCAATAACAAGGATGTTAGAGACGACTCGGCCACATAAAATTACCTTGGATTGACTGCACACAAGCACATTCAGATTAAATTAAGGATAAATGAAGGAAAAACTAAGAGAATCAGAGTTCACTCTTTTTAACTATGAGAAATTAAATAAGACAGTAAAATCAAGTGGACTAAGCAGATAAGGAATGGGAAAGCAGCCACCTAAGAATTTCCCTCAGCTCAGAGAAGCAAAAATATTTGAAACCTGTATCCTCAAAGTCAACCTCAAAAAGGAAATTAAAAACAATTAAAGAGTCTATAAGCTATGGAGAGGAAAAGGATTCATTAGGTATGTCTTAAAAGCCAGCAAGTGGTACAGAGATAAAATAAGAACTGTTGAATGTCAAGCTGTGCTAGACCTTAGCAAATGATAAACAAAATAGCAAGAGAAGTTTCAGCCATACAAGTAAAGGAGACCATAAAAGGAAAGTGAAGAGGGTATGCAGTAAGGAGAGGAAAGAGATTAAAACCAGTCAGCTATATCCCTAAAACTAAACTAGAGTTTTCATTAAGGACAAGGACATCGAAATAGGAGCAAGGCAAAACGTCTAACAAGGAGGAGGTTACAGAAAGAGACGTCACCAAGGTGGATACAGAACTCAGATGTTTCAGCGTGGCCAAAGTCAGTGAAAGCAGACAACATGTAAGCCAGCACTCCAAAAGAAATGGCAAATGAAATAACGCAAGGTTGTTAAAGCAATCTGACCAGCCGAGTGTGTCACTACAGAAAATTCAGAGCTTGCCTCTAGAGGGGGAATCCAGACATCCACATTCCCAAAACCTAAACAGTATACAAAGTATCAGAGAGAGTTTTCAGTAAAATAGTAGAAGAAAATGAAAAATGGAATTAAATGAGCAATAGAGTTGACAACAGTAAATTGTGCTATACTGGCCCAATATTTTCTGTCCATAAAAATAACTAATTGCACAGATACAGGAAGTGCAGTCAAGCTAATCCAAGCTTCGTTATGACTTTCAATACAATGTTACACTGGAAATTTAAAGATCTTTGAGCCGTATAAGAATTATACGGCTTAAAGGGGAGAGAAGCTAGTTCAAGAATGGCGTTTGGACAGACCTTCACCGATACCGTCATTAACGACACATACCTGAAAAGAAAAAGTGCGCTAATCACAAGTTCTGCTGTGACGAAGTTAAGGGGATCATCAATAAAGAGAAGGAAGAAACCAACACAAAAGGACTACTACATGATCTTCAGAACTGGCAACATTATCCAGTAATAGCAGCTGGATAACATTTTACCATGACATTAGGGATTGAGAAGAACGTCTACTATAAAGACTGGGAGCTCGTCAGTTGAAATCCAAGGATGTAAAAGAACAAGGTATGCTAGTCCATCTTAAAACGGGTACGGACTATCAATCAGCGCAGCCACAAGAAAGAACGGAGTAAAATACTGCTGTAAAAAGACCAGGAACTAGAAACACCACTGTACAAGAAAATGGTGAGACCTCATCTACATGGCCTTAAGAGCGGCTGATCAAAACTGTACAAGAAAGATTACTTCAAACTGAAACAAGTCCAGAGAAAAAAAACAAACAAGGTAACTGAGAGCACAGATAACGTGTTTCACGGGACAAGATGAGGAGGGTTTGGCTTGCTTGAGCCAACAAACACTAAAGGCTGAGGGAGGATGTGACTCATCTGCCTAGCGAAGGACAGAGACCCAGCGAGGAGGAAGAAGGGATATTCAAGCTCAGAGACAACACCGGCAAAGGAAAAGCCAGCAGAAGTTTTAAGTTGCAATTCTTGCAAGCTCCTTCATATCTAAAAATTATCATTAATCAAATGAACTAAGATTTTATCAATCTGTAAACCTGAAAAAATTCTCCAACTGGAAAATAATCACTAATATCGTAAGTGATATTAAAACTGAGAATGAAGTGCAGTCCAAGGTCAGTCTGTCAAGTTTACCAGTCTGTAATCGGCATGAAACTTCCCTAAGTCTTTAAAAAAAAAAAACACTACCTTTCCCAGAGTGATTCAGACATTTCACAAACATCTGTAACATTTTCAAAAGTTCAGGAAAAATCCTTGAAAAATATCTCTATAGCTTAAGGACATTTTTCCACTAGGACATCATTACCTTGCTTGATATTATGATGTGCATTATCTTTGTCAGAACTGATCCCTATGGGGAGTTTCTGTAACTGGAATGTCTGCAGTATCAAGTAAATTTATGTGAAGTCGCCAGCTTTCACAAGGTAATTAAAACATCAGTTGAATAAAGGCGGAGATGGAAGAATCTGGGTTCCTACATTTGACCAAACTTCTTAAACAGGCAGAATGTAAGCATATGGAGCCTCATATTAGGTCTCTGTTCCAGACCTAAAAGTTTTCCACTTCAAAGGGCTCTCGCGCCACCAGCTGGTACCAGAAACTAGCCCAGAGCAAGAAAGTGGCCAAGATTTCTCTGAATTATTAGCTGCAACTGCAGTTGCAAAGTCTCTGTGATTGCAGTCCAGGACCTGCGAGTGTTTTCATGCACCACTGAGCTTCCTCTACTGCTTCTGCAGCACTAGCCTTATCACAGACCATCCGATACCTGAGGCAACATGTGTAACTGACTGCACTGAATAAGGGAAATAATGTCTCATTCCACAGGTACCACCTGGTCCTAGGCGACAAAAAAAAAAACAAAGTGGGGTGGCTCTCCAGTTATACATTTCAAGAACAAGACATAAGAGAGAGACACTAAAAGCATTCCCTCTGTTTTCTCATTTTGGGCTTGGTTTTTGGCTTCTTGATTCCTTGTTTGCTTTCCTCCACATCAAGGGACGACGGCTACATGTTAAAAGTCAAAGATATTAGAATATAGCTCTGTTAATTATTAAGCAAGCAACTCACCCGCTCCACAGTGCATTTGCAGATCCGCTGGGCTGAGGTGACATCAGAAGATGACGCGCCTTTTTGCTCGTAATCAGGAATATCAAAACCCTTTGTCTATTGCAGGATTACACTGAGAGCTGGCTTACCTTGGCCAACACACAGCACACCAAATTGCCATGTTGCTTGAGGGGAAAAACAAGTATTTTTAAATAATTATATACAGCTCCTACCTGTATTTTTATAGGCCAGGTGAAATTGCTGACATAAACAAAAAAAGTGATGTTTGGATTGTTGCGGAAATCAAATTTCTCATTGGAGAAGCTGTCCTTGTATTCTTTTATGTTGGTTCTTGAAACAACTGGAATTTCCTCCCCAGCCTGTGTGCCCGCTGTTTTAAAATATTAAGTAATATTAAAATAAATAAAATATTAAGGAGCAAGAAAAGATGTTTCAATGCATATTTTTAGTGATAAACAAAAAAGGCCAATTATCCCGAGTTCTAAAGCTATTACAATGACAGTAAAATGAATGATTCATCTAAACGTTACTATTTTGAGCTGCATCACATTATCAAAATCAACGCATGCAGAAATACTGCATTACTAAACATTAAATTAGCACCTTCCAAAACATATTATCAAGATGCAAAAACAGAAGAAAGAAAAACACGGTTCTTTTACTGTTTTACTTCCGCCCTAAGTCCAACATCTTAGAACATGATATAACAAGTTCATTGGTTAAAAGAAAAAAAAAAGTTTCCCCAACTCTATCTGCTTTTTTTTTTTTTTTTTTGAAATGCAATCAGTTTTAACTGAAAGAAACTATCAAGCAAGTTTCCTTATCTTTAAGGAAACAAAACTATGATCATACTTGTTTTACCTGCAAAACTTGTTGACCACGTAATGTTGAGGTTGAAGTTTTTAGAAGCATTGATAAACATGTCAAGGTCTCTGTTTTGCTAAAGAAAGAAAAAGAAAGCAAAAAAAGAAAATCCAGTTTTAAGATAAGTAATCCTACTGCACTGTTTTCCTAGCATAGCTTCACTGAAAGGAATCTTGGAATTGATTATTTGTATAAAACAAATACGTTTCAGCATCTTCACATGAAGCAGAAGACAGAACTACTTCCCTTTTCTGAAAGTAGTATCCCCCTCACCAAGAAAAGCAAAACAAAAAACAAAAAAAGTCACATGCTTGGAGTAAAACAGTAAGAAGACAGACAAAAGGTCTGTACTCTAACAACAGAAAAACTAGCAAAACCAGAGTTGCTCAGCAAGTTGTTCAAGCAAATGTAAAGAATCAACTGTGGGTCCTTAAATAATTTTACCATGAATATCCGAAACTGCATGGCCAAGACCAGGAAGCTCAGAAAGTTCTGTCGAATTGGACACGGGCTACTTCAAGAGACTAGCTCTGGATACTCGCAGAACTACGACAATTCATCATCTCCATGGTCAGGAGAGAATGAACATATAGCCAAGGGATGAAGTTTAAACGGAAGGTAGAAAATTCACCTCTTCAGGTGTCGCTACAAAGTTGATGGCTGTGTAATAGCGATCATCCTCTTGAGAAAGGCTGAAGGTGAACTGATAGTCAATGAGAAGAGTATCTGTAATGAACGCAAGGAGAAAGTTAGCGCATGCCTTGGAATAAAAATAACTGCAGCAAAGCGAGCATGTTACTGAAGTGCTTCTCGCACCGAGGACACAACCAGGAGTCACTGCGCTGCTGCAAATGAGTTCAGCCTATCTATGATCCCGCACAAAAAGGAGAGATACTCTGGACTTTTCTGCCACTTTCATTCTCTCAAGCTGAAGCTAGAAGGAAAAAGGAGAGGCCAATGTCTTTCAGGAAGAAGCCTGCAGCCTTAAACTAAAAGGCTGCTCATATCCCTACATTGAGAAACTATGTTTACTTTTTCCATACTGAAACGCCTCCACATTCTTAGGGAATACTAGTAAGATAAAATGGACTATATAACTCAGCTTGCCTGAGATGGGATTAAGTTTCTGTACATCAGAGCTCCTCAGGGAATATTTCTACTGAGCAGCTGCTTGGTGATCATCCGGCTGCCATCCGACAGTGAATCACATCATCCCATGACCAGCCGTTTAGTCTACCTGTACGTCCTGTTACTGCTCGTGTTTGTCTGGGTTTGAACAGCACCCCTCTCCTAACTCGCAGTGACCAGCCAAGTTTGGGGGTACATCCACCAATCTCACTATTCTTTTGTTAAAGCACAGTACTATGACTTGTGCGTGTTCCCAAAGCTACGCAGAGGATATTCCAAACAATAATAAACATGAGGCTACAGAAGTGGTGTTATTCTTCTCTTTCTGATGTCTACCCACAGCCCAAGCCCCGAAAGAGAAATTTCTAAGACAGAACTAAAATAAGAGAGACCTTGAGCCTGTATAGCACAAGGCTGCTGTTGTGAAGGTTGCAAAGTTCTGTCTTTTCCACCATTTGGCTTACTCCACCACCCCTGCCATTGGCACCGACGTGTTAGGTCACGCTTGCAAAAAGACCACCGCGAGCAGTCTTTGCTTTGCTAAACCAGAACTCAGATTTGCTAAATACTGCTTGTTTATAACTTGTGTTTCACAAAAATACTATTTGAGATGTGTATCATTAGTTAATTTAAGATTAACATCTATCCACGCCTGTAAATGTGCTGATTGCTAATATTTGCAAATAGAAGCTGGAGAGTATCCACTAAGTAATCTGCATCTTGGCAAAGAATCTTCTGGAGTTGCACAGGGATCCAACTGCTCATTTCAGAGGAACAATGGCAATTTTGAAATCTTACCCATTCCAGCATGGAATAAAATAAATTTTAAAAAAAAGGGCATTTTTGCACTAACAAAAATACCAAAAACATGCTTTGATTTTGACTCATTAGAGTCATTACATTTTAGAGCAGAAATTCCAGAGGATTAGATTTCATTTCAAAGTCACTTAAAAATAGAAAAATTCTAAAGTCTGTTCTGATGGGTCCAATTGTGACACAGACTTTATCAATAAGAGCATTTTGGTTTTCTTTAAATTACAGCTTTGTGAGAAGGGATGTTTTAAAAAATATATATTTTCTAGTCCTTGCCTTAATACCCTGTATATTAAACAGATGCTGAGGCAACTAATATTAGCTCTAATAATGCATTTCAAGTATCAAACACATTGGCTACCTCCAAAAAAAATCTCAACGGTACTCACAGTAACACGTTCCTTTAAGTGGATTTCCCTGATATCTATTTTCAACTTCACACCTAAAAAAAAAAAAAATCCTATTTTAGTATTTTTAATTAACACGTTTCTTCAGTTTTATTTATGCTCAGCCAATAAAAAAATCAGTAAACACCACCTGTGCCAATAGCAGTACACAATTAAAAATAAAAGATACATGTCTGAGCTACGCCGTGCTGCTGAAGGCATGACGCAAATCTTTCAAATCCCTACAAAACAAACTAGAAGGCAGTGAAAATGAAATATAAAATTATGGAAATTAACCTTCGCATCTCTTTGAAATGTATTTAATAGTTCTACACAATGCACGCAATTGGATCACTACAGTCAAATACTAAAGTTTCCATTTACGGTCAATCCAGGATCCAGTCCTACAATGTTTACTCATGCAAGTAACACTTTAAAAATAAACCTGGCAATGAAATAATTTCCATTAGCATTTCACTAAAAGCATTTGTGTTACACTACAGAGAATTCTCCTGCAGATTCGTTGCTCTGAAAGGGCTCCATTAAAATGCCTGAAGGTTGAAGTCTTTTCCCCTCTTATTTCTGATATATTTATATTCAGAACTGCATCAGAATGCTTAGAAAGTTAAAAAAAAAAAAAACAAACCAAAAAAACAACTTACCAATTTAAAAATATATAAAATTGAGGGATAACCAAAGTGATATGCACGGTTTGGGGGGGGCGGGGGGGCATGAGGGGTTAGTTTTCACCCTACGCACTACACGACAGTTAAAGCTGAAACGCTCTTAAAATGGAAAACTTAAGGAAATCATTTTGCTCATGCTATCCCCCCAGGGGAAGCACGGCTGGCTGCAGAGTCAATGGAGTTAGTCAACTGTCAGCTCTAAGAGATGAGCAGAGACATCATAAATGCAGTCGTTAAAAAACGTCGGGGTCCCACTCCAGCCTGTGCACGGCCTTTTGATTTCAAAAAGAACAAAGTGAAACAAAACTCACAGTTGACACTCGTCTCCTTTTATTCCCTTGGTAGTGCAGAAACATTTCCCCGTATTTGTGTTGCAGACGGAGGCATGGCCGTTGCACGTGCAAGCTGTCGAGCAGAGGAGGGGGGCAAAAAGAAGTAATTTTGAACGAAGCCAGAGAAACAGATTTTATAGCAATTAAATCCTTTAGATGCCAAACTGTGATACATCGACAATTAAACCGCACATGAAAACTCATTTGGTAGTCTTTGGTTTCTTTGTGATACTAAAGGCTGCTAAAAATAGAGGCATGTGTCAAACCAGAGTGAGTGAGGGTTCCAAGACTGTATGTTTTTGTATGAACTCACGATCAGCCTGGGCCTCTGTAGCTTCCAAAATCCATTTAACTTCCTCTTTTGTTGCTAGATGGCACTACGGATATCATAAACAGTGGGAAAGAGATAATACTTGGAATAGTTTGAGGCTTGCTAACACATTTCACTCCAACTCTTAAGCTCTTGAGCAGAGACTATGATTTTTTTTTTTTTTTTTTTTTTTTTTTTTTTTTTTTTTTTTTTTTTTTTTTTTTTTTTTTTTTTTTTTTTTTTTTTTTTTTTTTTTTGCAAGTAAAATAAAGCTCCTTGTGCTTCTAGGGCTCTATCTAGAAAGAAAAAGATCTTTCAGAAAATGACAGAAGTCTATCTGCAGTGTAAAACAAGTCAGTGCTGATAACACAATGTCCTTTTTAGAGGAGCTTTAGCCTGGTCTCACAAACTGAATGCCACCCAGTCATGGTTGAAGGACATCAGGTCCTAGACCACATCTTCTGGTTTAGTTATACCTCAAAGTAGACCAGTCCACATACCCCAAGACCACTTCTGATGTGAACCTTTTAGGAGGTATTAAATCAGTGAACTGGAAGATGCATTCGCTTTCGGAGTTGCACGTGGGGAGTGCACAATGTGAGAAGGGGAAACGTACATAAAGAAGATCTGTCATCTGTTGCCCCTGAGCTTGCTGGAAATAGTATCCTTTAAAGGCTGGCATCTCCTCATTAAGAAAAAATGAGATAACCCAAATCATTTCAAGACATGAGCCATTTAATATACCAGCACGTTTTTTGACATGAAGTCTCCATCCTGAAAATCTTTGTCTACCTTGGACCTCATTCTATAAATCATTTGGATGTCTTCTTCATATTGGCATGTAATGGAAGCTACGTTGTATCAGGGACACTTAATTGTGCTTCTCCATTGTGGATGGCTGGTTTCCTAGCAGCAACGTGGAATAAAATATGAAGAAACATAAAGGCCCATTGCGGAAACAAGTAGACTGAATCAAGATTTGACAAAATAATTGTATTCTGTAAAGCAAACACATTTCTCATTAGTGGCACTTTAAAAAAATCTTAGTACTACTGAGAATGTCTCGTACTTCCTTCCTTAGGCTTTACAAAATGCAAGCAAAGTGAAATTTGATTAACGTTCAATAGTAATATAAGCAAAAATTAGGAGAAATTTCTAACTTCATGTTGTTCTGACGCAGATCACAATATCTTGAACAATAACATAAATGCTCGGTCCTTCATTATGCTTTTTAGCCATCTGCTTATGCTTGAGAAGTTCAAACACGCAAACACCTCTACTTCAAACAGTCGTCTTCATTTATGCATCTTCCTATGAGCCCCATTAGTGGGGATCGTTTACCAGAGGACTGGAACATGCAGAGAGGAGTCATTTCCTCACAGTTCTTGAGACAACGATGAAGTTTGGAAACAAGCTACTGACAAAAAAGCGTACTAGAAATTCTCCTTGGTGTCTAAAACTTCATCCCTCCAGAGGTTGATGCTGCAGCACAGAGCCACAATTTATCGGAAATGGCTTTTTGACTTCAGTGCACGGTAGCAATCTGAATGACCAACCAGAACCACCTCCGCAGCGAGCCTCCTTCCATCTTCTTTATAAACGATGGGTCACAGACTCATGCAGGGACGGTCAGGGGGATCAGCTCTCCTCTTACTGCCTTAGTGACGGTCCAACAGACCAATGGTGACCACAGTGACTAATCGCCTGACACCACTCTTCCATGCAAAGATAAAGATCTTTGTCCTCCAACACACTGTCCTCCAACACAATCGAGCAGCCGAGGGGAAGAAAGGCAGCATCGTGTCACCATTAATTCCATGTGGACCACCAGCAAGCACTCCACCGAGCAGTTTAAAATCACTGCCACGGAGACTAACTGATTTCAGACATAATAGTGCCTTCTGTTCTCTTGCAAATAACTTTCTTATCTAGCGCTAACATATTTTCATGTGAAAGTTCAATCAGAAAACTCAAAAATATTGAATGCAGAGAAAGCACCTTACAGCTATTTTTACATTTGATGTGCTGCATTTCCTGCCCTGCTTGATTAATGCTGTTCTACACTGGACACTTTCTAAAAGCAACCGCTGAGCAGTGAATCAGCTACCATTTGGTTATTATCTGCCCAGCGCTGCAAAAACCAATGCCTACGCTGGTATGCAAAAAGTCCTTTCAGAGAAATAGCCGCAGTTCATTAAAAATCCTTGAACATAAGTGATAAAGTTCACCTGCCCTAGAAACATAGAGCGACAGGGAAAGGCATCTTCTTCCACCCGCTCTTTTTACTCCTTCCTGGCTCCTGAACTCCATCAGCACCACTTCCAGCTCTGCACAGCCCAGTCTGCACCAAAGGCTACTAAGTGTCTCTCAGACTCCTAATATCTCAACATAGATGGTGTATAAACAACTGCTTTAAGTATGGATGTGACTGAGGGCTCCCAAAATAGAGTAGCACACAACACTACATTAATGCTAAAGGAAGAAGGGGCTCCGCCACAGCACAACGGAGAGAGAAAACAGGAGCTAGCTCTGCTGCCCATCAGCCAATCCTCATCCCTAATGAATTCCCTTCTGGAAACGTTTCCCATGGAGCAAAACTACAAATTGCCAACAGTCACTCTGGCTGCATCAGATCAGATCATGCCCCCTTGCTTTCCTTCTTCTAGTCCGCATTGCTCCTTCTGCCCAACCTCCTGCTTTCTCTGCTTCTTTTGCCTGCACAGTAAATAACTTTAACTAAAAAACCTGGGCCCAAAGCACTTGAGAGCAAAGCACTTTTGACATGAGCTGCTCGTTTCATCAGATACGGAATGAATGCTGTGCCACAGTCTCTCAACACATTTTCTAATTTCTTTTTCAGGCGACTGGAGGACTTGAGTATCATTCATTTTCTCAAACTATTTTTGGACAACCCTCATAGTAAAGAGTCCAAAGTAACTTAGTCTGGAATTTCCACATGCGTAGAAAAAACAGCAACTATAAAATGGCACATTGCAATCCAGTGATTAAAACTGAATGCTCGGAGTAGAATTTTCTATTTTCTCACGCCTGCTCACTCTCATTTTATTCATTCCTGCACTTAAACTCATTCTTCAAATTATCTTTGTGCAAAATATCAGCAGTATTTAGTCTTGCAGATGAGGCTCTGGAATAAAGTGTCAAAGATGCACTTTTTCCATTGTGCCCCTCCCACTGTGCTGTCTGTCGCAATTTCACATCCCAGTCACTGCAACATCCTTTTCTCCAAGGAATGCAGCCTTGTACCACTCCCACCCATTTGGAGCACTAGCAGGAAAATAATTTTATAAGCCTGTCTCTGATCATTTCATGCCCTTCCCTAAATCTCTTCACTGGCAGGTCCTTCTTCATAGCATCAAACATCACCTACTCGTTCTTGCTTGAAGAAACAGGCCAGTGACTTGCTCTCATCCTCATCCAGAAGGCTGCTGCCACTCCCAGGAGGCATCCTAGATGCATTTCCAGATACTTTCTCCTGAATTGTTTCCGGGCTCAGAGGGAACGACTCAAGGACTTCAATGTCCGTTCATCAATCACCTTCATCTACTCCTTCCACGATGCTTACAAATCACCCGAACTCATTTGACTGAAGTACCGATACCACCCTCAGACTGAACAACGTTCTCTCTCCTCTACCTTCCTCATTACTGTCCATCTAACTATATTCTTCTCTGAGATCTCTTTGGAGCAAGGAACACCTTTCCCTTACAACTGCATATCACCTACCACAGCTAAATTCCAGTTTGCAACCGGTCTCCCCACACTAGCACACTGTGAAATAAGCTGTAATCCAGAACAATGTTGTGTGGTTTAAGGACAGAACAAGCCTTCCGTGTTCGTCTCCTAGTTGTGCCGAAGAGCCCATCAGCACTTTACAGACTTAAAATGCAATTGTAACAAGGAACACATAATCCTAAAATGAAATCCAGCCAACTCCTCAGTGAAATACGGCTACGCTTTTACTAAGCAGATGATTATGACAATAAACCAACAATGCATTAACTGACTGCAATAAAAGGTAGAATTTAGATAAGCAGAAATTTGTACAAGACGGTGGGATTAACACCACTTCTTTTCAAAACAGGATCATCATACATTTAAACGACCACACTGAATCATGGGTTAGTTTTAAGTTTAGAAAGGATGGTAAAAGTAATCCTTATCCTGCATAATGCAAGTTAGCACAGAATTTCACCAAGGAATTTCCGTATCTTTGATGTGAAGCAGCAAAGATTGGATCTTGACTGGAGGAATATTTCATTGTCCCTCCTACGTTTGCAGGACATTGTCTCAGCACTTTAACGTTCCTTGAACGCTGGTTTCATGTGAGGTAAGGCATTCACTGAGACCAAATTACAGCAGATACTTAAGATTACTACCTTCCTATTGAAATTAAGAACACATTGGAAGTCTAAATAGTTTATTCAAACCTAGAATCAGAATATAATTTAGGTTGAGATAACAGGAGTGAATAAAGAGTGAAAAACATCAAAGATTTCTATGTAGGAAGATTTAAGACATCACTTACGCTGACACGTTCCTCCGTTAGTAGGATCACCATAGTAGCCAGAAATACAAGTTTCACAGTGCTTGCCAGTTGTTAGATTTTCACACTTTTCACAGATGCTTTCATTTACACACTTACTGTGCCCATTGCACTGACAGGCTGAAGAAAACAGAAAAGGACGAGTTATTTGTGTTCAAATACAGCACTTCACATAGCACCCTAAAAGGCTGTGTGTTGGAGAGGCTGCTCAGTTGACTTATGAATTAAATCACTTCATAGCAACTCTTGTAGTCTTTTTAGCAATGCATAAGCACAAAGAGAAGATTCTACTGAAACTTGAAATACAAAGCAAAACACAGTAAACTGAACTCCAAACTATTATGGAAATACTGGAGTGACAGGACTAGAAGCAGCTGGTGGGATAGATTTACAAGGAAGAATTGGGAAGAAGGGGTGAGCAGCAGTTCACATAAAATAATTATATATACTTGGTGTCAAAAACATCATTTCAGAATCACCTCACACCTTACTAATGGTTAACTCAACCTTCAAACATAGACCGACCTTTCCTTTTAAACAAGCCTGAACTGAATAAATA